CCACGAGAGAGTGGGTAGAGTGTGAAAAGAACCTTGAAGTCCTGCTCCACGTGTCAAAAGAAGGATAAGTGTGACAACGCGGATGCTGATTCCTTCTAGTTAACTAAAGACAATACTTGCATAAATATATAGTCACGGTCTTGCAGCCATTCCCAGCCTTATCTGTCTTCAGCTACCCACCGTTTCCCGGTTTTCTCTGGTGATCATATAATAACTGCATTCTTGATTTCCGTGACAAACAGCTTGAGTCTGTACCTTGCCGTCGTACTGTCCTGATGCTTCCTGAAAAGTAGAAGGTACGAAGCAGGTGCCGCTGCCACAAGAGAAGAAAAGATCGTAGATCATGCAATGATCAGAAGGACTGGAACATCTTTCATCAATCTTAGATATTGGAGCTCTGTCGAGAAGTTCAGTGCCTAAAATGTTACCGTGAGCAAACATCAACTTTCAACGGCGAGTGGAAATGATGGGGGCTGCAGAACCATAGGTTCATTGAACGGTTTGATAAGGAGCGCTTGATAAAGCCTCCTGAGCATGAACATCGTAAGGTCAGTCCAAAAGTCTATAAATACCTTCGAGACTGATGGATTAAGGGGACGCGCGCAGGTGTGGTGAATTCCTCTTGTTTAGTTGTTTGGGCTAATTTCCGCCATGCTGAACCTTGCCGAGGGAACCCTGAGTGCTCGGCGGCAGTGCCGAGTGATGCCGCATCAGATAATGACATCGGGATCAGACAAATGACTACATAAACAAGACGGACTCATACGAAAATTGACTTGGAAAAATGTTGTGATGGTGAGATGGCCGAGCGGTCTAAGGCGCCAGACTAAGGATAGACTAGGGCAGTTGCTGTCTGAGACATCTGGTCTCTTCGGGGGCGCGAGTTCGAATCTCGCTCTCATCATCAACTTTTGGTGAATCTTGATGTGGGAATCATGCTCTCGAACATTCTTCACAAGTTGTGGCGTGGAAGTTCCGACGCCTACACGACGACTTACCCTCTTCTGTTTAAACACTATCGAGGAACATTCACTTACTGTGTGTCGTTAGACGACGGTCCTTCTAGCTTACACGTATACAATTACGGTTCTAACAATATGGCTATTTTCACATTTTGAAATGTAAAACAAACCCAACCATCATCCCTTTTGAGCTAAGCAGCTCCATCTCTGTGTGGCAGCAGGTGTACCGACAATTTCCATCAAAATGATGTAGGTGACGTGGCTTGATTTTGTCGCGGTCCTTTTGAAACAGACATTCCTCGATCTAGATCTCGCAATCAAGAAGCACAAATCATCTTAGGTGAAATAAGCTGTTCGAGTTGTATCGCATTCTGCATTCCGACAACAAGTGGCTTACTTGAAACACACCTTCAATCACTGTTGATGCTTATCTGCTTTTGTATAGCCTGTTCCGCCGTCCACGAAAAACCTTTCTTTTCTTACATCCCGGCATGACAATTGCAAGGACGATGTTCGGGACCAAATTCCCGTTGGTTTTCAGCCTTTATTTGAAACGCAATACTGGAGGCTACAGGCAGCGTATCCACGAAAAAAAAAGGGGGGAGGGGTTTTAAGAACCCCTTTGGCAAGTCACCTTCGAGCGAGAAAAAAACCATCATCAGTCACAACTTCTCCTTGATGGATAGCTGTCGAGCACATGCCAAAAGGATCATCTCAAAGCCAAGAGTTTCACTTCCGCGTCGGTGGTCTGGTCGTGGTGTTCGCAGCGATGATTGAGGCCAGTCTTTGGAAATGTCAATACTCACCATACAGATACTCATAGAAAATGTCAAAGGAACGTGTATCCCTTCTTGTTTGCAATCTTGCAGTTGTTTCTAGCATTGTAACACGATCGCTGGATTCAAAAGAGAAGTGTTCCGGCTCTTCCAGCAACCAAGGAGTCCTAGTTGGGCACACGTACATAACAAACAGGACTCACACCGATCACGTTGACTTCCAAATGGACCTCGAAACTGGAACGGAGCTCAAGGTTCACAAAATTGTTGAAGTCCAGAATCTCTGTCTCTCGGAAACAATGATACCAAGTCAAATAATTACTTGCAGAGTCCACACAATTGACATCGTGATACGTGAATGGGTGTCATTTTCTGTAAAGTTCAAGGCTGACGAAGGGCATCTAGATCATTGACTTCCTACGCCTTGATATGCAAAGACTGCGGCCGCCGCTGGTATGTCCCGGCATCGTCATCGTAAATAAGGACCTGTGCAATCGTTTTACGCAAGTATCCATACTGTATCGTTCTGAAATTCCTTATGGGTGAAAACAGCTGCTGATACGAATTTTCATCAAGTAATTTCAATTAGAATTGGTTGAAACGTGATGATAATAGAAATCATCAGACCATGAACTCATACTGTCATTTTATTGAATACAGAAAGATTCCCAATACCCCGCAAGCTAACAATGTGAGTGGTTCCCGATGAATTCCATGCTGTAGTGGGCACAGACACCCGCCTTCACCTCACCTCAATGTAGTCGTTTCTCAATGAGATGTTTTAGAACAAAAGTCCGAATCTGACGGATGCACCACGCTTCGACCACAGAGTCAACAGACAAGCCAGGGACTATTCTGTTTGTGATAACATTATATTGCACCCTTAGGATTCAATTTCAGTATGTATGGATAAACAGCGTGTCCTTGCCAAGTACAGCAGAATAGGAATAGTGAGAATTTGCTGTTCGAACATAACGACGCGACAAACAAAATTCGCGCTTGTTGAGGAGAGAGATTTTAACGCTAATTTATCGGATGCAGAACAAGCGAGAGGCCGCTGCGAAAAGAAAACCAGGCGTCTGATAGATTCCCTGTCTGGTACAGCATAGCCCGTGTACTTAGAAGGGCGTGCGGAGTAACCGTTGAGTTCCTATTGCAAGACTTTGCTTCTAGAGCGAGCTTTGACTCTGCTTTTACTTCCTTGTAGCTCATGAGACCCCCACGTCGACGTCGTCGATACTATGCGTCCTCACCTTCAATGTACGAAGCTGAGACCATCCCGGACACTCCCTGCGATGGTTTGACTGATCTTTGAGTAGATAGGCGTACATTGACCATGATTCAGCTAGTTTGAACACGTACCAACTACAGACCTTTCAATAAGTCATAGACATCCTGAGGGGTTCGAACTCGTATAGACCAAAGACTGAGGAATTGGTCCATAGACGGTTCGTATCCTAGGTAGGACATTGATCAATTCAGACACAGGAGAACCCACCTTCTACGGTCCAAGCGCACATCGACAATGTAGCCGCGGTGTGGAAGGTCGGTTCCGGTGGTTGACCACGGACATGCAGAGGACAGGGGTGGGGTGCAAAAAGAGGCTGAAGTGTAACGTCCCAGTGGCGGATAGGAGGATAGGTTATTGCTTAGTCTGAACGTTAGAAGTTGATAGATGCGAACTTGTGAATCTGGATCTGATAAGATCGGTGATGTCAGTGCGCTTATCAAATTTGACCTCGAACACATTTGGTCTTCGTGCTGGACGACAAGATCCACCTCAAAAATGGTTGAATATTCTATCTGTATGTTCAATATATCACGCCTCAAATCCAAAATCGAGATCAGCGACATCGGGAAGGAAGATTGAAAGGTTCTCTCTCTGTCATATTCACACTTTCTGATCTTCAAGGCACAATGTCAGTTAACAGTGTTGAGAGTTCAACGAACAGATGATACATTGATACAGTCGAGACTGACAAGGCACCAAAGTTTCTGACTGATGAAGACAAAGGCTATATTGCGCGTGGAATGTACGAGGTAAAATAAGGTAGTTGTGCAGATTCCGTGATAAAGTGTAGGTACATGCATGTGTGTCTTGATGAAGCAATGCGGGGTATACATGTATAGAAGGGACTAAGGGTACATGAACAATAATGATAGATTCCGGGACAAGGAAAGAACGGAGAGGTGTCACGATGCGAAATGTAGGGTGTCGATCTCACAATGATGTCGGTTCCAAAGCATCAGGCTTGAAGCGGAGCCTGGAAACGAGGACAGTTTCCCAGTTGGGTCCTACTTTGGATACCTTGCTTGAGGATATAGCGTGGCCTGGAACGGGTTCATCGTACGAGGGGCCGCCCATTTCGGGTGGAACCTCCGTGTCAGTGGTAAACGTTCCCCACGGCGCACCGTTCCTGGGTGATGAAAACACATTGAAATGTGCCTGAAGGGTTCAAAGTCAACGGAGTAAACGAGTTAGAATAAAAGGACAGTCATACCTGTCCATCGGGATGGTTGTGGCTCACGAAGAGCGCATACTCCTGAGCATCAAGGGTACCAATGACTGTGCAGAGAACACCATCAGCCATGCGAAAACATAGAACAGGAAGAGAATTTACCAAGGAACAGATCTTCCTTCTGAATGTGATGAGTAGGCCCGTAAATCTGCATGATCGCATCAACATTCGCCTTGAACCACCTCTTTGGCACCTCCAGGCGTTCCATGTAACGATACATTGTCGATTCTGTAAACATGTGCGCCGTCTTGTGACCTGCTCGAAGTGGGAATGAATATCGGCGGGCGATACTTTGCCTTTTCAACGCATGCATGAATTAGCTATGAGCCGAAGACGTAACAAAAGGAACACTTACGATGACACTGCCCCGCTTTTGCCTCTAAACGTGAGCAGTCCAACAAACGCATCGTACCCTCTCTGCGCTGCATTCCTCTTGTCCTGGCGCTGGGCCCCAGATGACACCCGACCATAGCCATAAAGCGACGGCAATCCACGCACTGCGCTCTCCTGGCCGATCTCCGGCGAGAAAGAGTTGAACAACGTGACAAACTTCCCCTCTGGTTTCTGAAGATACCCGACGGCACCAAGCTTGACCTGTGACGGTTCCCAGAGCGGAAGAGTCACTGTCAACAGAATCAGCACCAGGATCGGAAAGCCAAGAGACATGAACGACTCACAAGAAGGGTGAAACCGATGATTCAA